CCTCTATATATTATTGTGGCTCTTTGAAAAGATCGGCAAAACTGAGAAACCTGCAGCTAGACTGACCAGGAGAGAAGAGAGAAGATTCAAATTACTAAAATCAGGAATGAAAGAGGGGACATAATTACTGATCTTACAGAAATCAAAAGGATTATAAGGGAATACTGTGCATAATTCTGTGCCAACAAATTAGATAGCCTAGATGAAATGGACAAATTCCTAGAAAGATACACACTACCAAACTGACTTGATGATCAGTAAGAAGATACAGAAAATCTAAATTGACCATTAACAAAGCATTTGAATTAATAATCAATAAACTTCCTTCCAAAAAAAAAAAAGCTCAGGACCAGATGGCTTCACTGGCAAATTCTGCAAAACAAAAACAAAAAAGAGGAGCACCAATTCTTTACAAACTCTCCAAAAAATGGAAGAGGAGAGAAAACTTCCCAACTCATCCTTTGAGGCCAGTATTGCTGTAATGCCAAAACCAGACAAAGATACCATAAGGGAAAAAAAACCTATAGACCAGAATCCCTTGTGAATACAAATTGATATTTCTTATGGACACAAAAATCCTCAACGAACTGAATCCGGCAGCATGTAAAGATTATACACTATGACCAAGTGGGATTTATCCCAGGAATGCAAGGTTGGTCTGACATATTTTTAAAAGAAATCAATTAAGGTTAATAGAACAAAGGAAAAAAAAAAACATACCATGTGGTTTTTGATGCAGAAGAGGCACTGACAAAATTTAACACCCTTTCATAATGAAAACACTCAGGAAACTAGAGAGAGAAGGGAATCTCCTCAATCTGATAAAAGGCATCTACAAGCCCATGACTAAAATTATACTTTAACAATGAAAGACTGAAAACTTTTCTTCAAGATCAAAAACAACAGGGATGTCCCCTCCCAATTCTGTTCAACATTGTACCATAGGTATCAGCCAGGGCAATTAGACAAGAAAAAGAAATAAGATAAAAGAGATCCAAATTATAAAGGAAGAAATAAAATGATCTCTGTTTACAGATACCATGATCTTATAGAGAGAAAATACTAGGGAATCTATACATACACACAAAAAAACTACTACAGCTAATAAATGAACTCAGCAGAGTTACAGGATACAAGATCAGTATGCAAAAATCAATTGTATTTATACACTAGCAATTAATAATCCAAAAATTAAATTAAGAAAGCATTTCCAGGCACGCCTGGCTGGTTCAGTCAGAAGAGTATATGACTCGATCCCAGGGTTGTGATTTCAAGACCCACGTTGGGGGTAGAGTTTACTTTAAAAAAAGAAAAGAAAAAGCATTTCCATTAATTGCAGCATCAAAAAAAAATAACCTACTTAGGAATAAGTTTAATAAGAGAAATGTAAGATTTGTACACTGAAAACTACAATACACCTTTGAAAGAAATTAAAGAAGACCAAATAAACAAAAACAACAGTTGTGGATTAGAAGGTTTAATGTCATTAAAATGGCAGTACTTCCCAAATTGATCTACAAACTCAGCACATCCCTATTAAAGTCCTACCTGTCTTTTATGCAGAAATTGACAAGTTGATCCTAAAATCCATATGGAAATGCAAGGAACCCAGAACAGCCAAAACAATCTTGAAAAAGAACAAAGAAGACTTACACTTCCCAATTTCATAACTTGCTACAAAGCATGATCAATGGAATAGAATTAAGAGTTCAGTTGATTTTCAGCAAAAGTGCCAAAACAATTCATTGAGGAAAGAATATTTTCAAGTAGGTTCCATACCCAGCGTGGAGCCCAGTGCAGGGCTTGAACTCACATCCCTGAGATCAAGACCTGAGCTGAGATCAAGAGTTGGATGCTTAACTGACTGAGCTACCCAGGTGCCCCAAGTATAGCCCTTTAACAGTTGGTGCTGGGACACCTGGATATCTATCTGCAAAAGAATGAAATTAAACCCCTACCTCACACATACAAAAAATTAATTCAAAATTAATCAAAGGCCAAAATATAAGAGCCAAAACTATAAAACTCTTAAAACATAGGAGTATATCTTTGTGACCTTGGATTAGGCAATGGTTTCTGAGATACAGCATCAAAAGTAGAAGCCACAGAGGGAAAAAGATAAATTGGACTTCAGCAAAAGTTAAAACTTGTTCTTCAAAGGACATCATCAAGAAAGTGAAGACAACCCACAGAATGATTTACAAATCATAATCTGAGAAGGATCTATAGTATCTAGCATGTATAAAGATAACTCAATTTTTAAAATAAAGGATTTGAAAAACATTTGTCCAGTTAAAATACACAAATGGCCCATAAGTACATGAAAAGATGTTCAGTATCATTAGGCATTAGGGAGATGCAATTCATAACCACAAAGAGATGCCACTCCACACCCGCTAAGTTGATTCTCATCAAAAAGATGGAAAATAACAAGTGTTAGGATGTGGAAAAATTAGAACCCTCATGTTGCTGACAGGATTGTGAAATAGTACAACTGCTTTGGAAAAGTTTAGCACTTCTTCAAAATTTTAAACGTAGAGTTAGCATACCAGCCCATAATTCCACTCCTAGGTATATATCCAAGAGAATTGATAACCTATCTACACAAAAACCTGTTAAAGAATATTCATAGCATAGTGGGGTGCCTGGGTGGCTCAGTCTTTAAGCGCCTGCCTTCGGCTCAGGTCAGGGTCCCAGGGTCCTGGCATCGAGCCACGCGTCGGGCTCCCTGCTCAGTGGGAAGCCTGCTTCTCCCTCTGCCTGCAGCTCCCCCTGCTTATGCACACACACTCTCTCTCTCTGACAAATAAATAAAATCTTAAAAAAAAACACAACACTTCAAATAAGTTTTAAGTGTATGAGTTAGTAAAGATGTCAAAAAATATACAAGCTAAGAACTCAGTATTTTGAAAATTGTTAATGAAAGGGAAGAATTAACCATTCATTCTGCCTTTTCTCAGTTCATAAACTATTTGGTTGTACTACAAAGCAGCCAAATATTTGATGCGAGGAAATTTCTCTTTCTAGAAGTATAAGCTTTATAAAGAAATAAGGCATGATGGAACCATAATAAATTAATCAATCTAAGTAATGATCATCACAACTGCTAGTGTCACCAAAAAGAAACCACCATATTTGTATGCACCCATGGAGTAGTAGTCTTGCCAAAACAATAAAACTTGAATCTGATCAAGCCCCTATATCTCACTAACAGATTACAGGAAAGAGAACAAAGAACATGTTAAACAATACCATGGGGTTGCAGTCATTAAAAATCAGACTCTCAGGAACTCTACAGGACAAAAATAAATTACAAAGCAAAACCAAAAAAAAAAAGTGAGGGGAACTGATAGATTAAAAGACACGGGATGCCTGGGTGGCTCTGTTGGTTAAGGCTCAGGTCGTAATCTCAGGGTCCTGGGATCGAGCCCTGCATCGGGCTCCCTGCTCAGCCAGGAGCCTGCTTCTCCCTCTGCCCCTGCCGCTCCTCCTGCTTGTGCTCTCTCTCTCTGACAAGTAAAATCTTTAAAAAATAATGACTTATAAGAGACATATCTACCAACTACAGTGCACGGACTATACAGTCCCCCCACCTTATCTGCAGTTTCACTCTCTGTGGTGTCAGTTATCTGGTGTCATCTGCATCTGGAAGCAGGTGATAGTAGCCTAACACTACATCACAATGCCTGTGTCATTCCCCTCACTTCATCTCACCGCACAGGCATTTTATCATCTCATGTCATCACAAGGAGAAGGAGGAGTACAATGCATTAAGATTTTGAGAGAGAGACCACATTCATACAACTTTCATTACATTATATTATTATAATTATTCTATTTTATTATTAATTATTAAGCTCTCACTGTGCCTAATTTATAAATTAAACTTTATCATAGGTGTGTATGTATAGGAAAAAACAGTATATGTAGGGTTCAGTACTGCTGCAGTTTCAAGTATCCACTAGGGGTCTTGGAATGTATCCCCACATATAAAGGGGAGGACTATTGTATTTGGAGCTCAATTCAGACAAGTGTAAAAATATATTTTATGTTAGAAAATAACATTTCTAATCTAACTGGGAAAATGGGACCACTGAACTACATCTTTGCTGAAATTAAAAAATTGTTAAAAGTTTTGGTATGATAATAGTACTGAATAGGTTATGTTTTCCTTATATTTTAGAAATAGCTACTAAACAATTTACAGATGAAATGATGTGATGTCTGGGATTTGCTTTAAAATATTATGGGGGGGCACCTGGGTGGCTCAGTTGGTTAAGCCTTCAGCTCAGGTCATGATCCCAGGGTCCTGGGATCGAGTCCCACATCAGGCTCCCTGCTCATTGGGAGCCTGCTTCTCCCTCTGCTTCTCTCTCTCTCTCTCTCTGTCTCTCCCTCTCTCTCTCATGAATAAATAAATAAAATCTTTAAAATAAATAAATAAAATATTATGGGGGAAGGGTGTTACTATAAAGGGTTAGTATGGAGGAATTTTGGGGGGATGATAGAACTAGTTTGTGTCTTAATTGTGGTGGTGCTAACCACAAATCTCTACAACTGCCACCAAAAGGGAAGTCAATTTTGCTATATCTTAATTTTAAAAATAAAATTTAAAAATTCATATTATGGAGAGAATGAGTGGAGGAATAGATGAAATAAGACAGGCCATGACTTGCTAATATTTGGAGCAGAGTGATGGCAGAAGAGGGGGGGATTTCATTGTCCTACTCTCTCTACTAAAAATTTATACATATAATTATTTAGAATATAATGTGAAAGCTTGTAATATTTGAAATCATAGATGAGAAATTTAGGGAAATAGCTTTGAAATTAAGGTTTCCTAGTATTGTGAACTATTGCATAGTGTAACGATGATTGAAACATTACAGGATGAAGTTAGAAGCAAGTGGAAGTGGTGTGATTAAAGACATTTTATACCATATAAGTACATATGAGAAGTTACTCTGATAATGTTTTTTTTATTATTTTGTTTCCTTTAGGATGAGAGAAGCTGCAAGAAAAATAGAAGAAAGACATTTTTCCAACCACGCAACACATGTTGAATTTCTGCCTGTTGAGTGGCGGTCAAAACTTACTCTTGATGGAGGTACAGTTTGTTTAAAAATTAAGTGATTTAGTCAGTGGAAACAAGGTGTTGCTTGTTGGGAACAAAGTGTCTTTCATTTAGTTGTCTTGAGGTATAGTCACTCTTCGTTCTAGATAATTTAAGAAAATCCACTGATTTTTATTTTTTTATCTCTTTTTATTAACATATAATGTATTATTTGTTTCAGGGGTACAGGTCTGTGATTGATTTTTTAAAAAATGATATTGACATACGTTGATTTGGATCACCATATAGATTTCACAGATAGCCCAGTTTTTATGCATGCCTTCTGTGGATTAGGGGGTGGGGCAGGGGGAATTGGGAGCATGTGGAGGGAACAAAATATTGTCTTAAGTTTTTGACAGAAAGTGATTTGTTGATAACTTTAAAAATATTTGTTGTCCACAATTCCATATAGCTTACATTTTCTTTCTAATAATTTTCTTTTCCTGTATTTGGAAGATAAAATCTCAGGTTTTTTTCTTTTGTTCCTGCATTCCCTGGGCTGGTAAATTATTATCTAGCATAGAGAAATTATACAATATATTTGTTTAAATAAAATTATTTTCGTTTGCTTCCTTAAAGAGTTATTAGCTAAAATATGCACAAATCCGTGACCTTTTAATATTTAAACCATTAGGATGGCATGTTTCAGTTGATGATTTGCATGATCTGGAAAATGAAAGAGTTCTAGACATGATATCAGCTGCTGTTTCTGGAGCTTTTACTGTGTGCCTGGCACTCCATAGTTCATTTTGCATGGAGTTTCTCATTTAATTTTCTCATATAGCTATGAAATATACCTACTTTGTTTTCTCTATTTTACTGATAAGGAAACTGAAACTCAGTGAAAGGTGAATTAATTTAACTAAGAATGGCAAGAATCTAGATCTGTATGATACCAGAACCCTTATTCATCACAGCACTAACCTGCCTCCCTGGATGATTTACAAGGATTCTTCCAAGTCTGTGGTTCTATCTCATAGTCAGTTAGCAATGTCAGTTATAGCTTATAAACCAAAATGGTATCCAAAGTTGTAATGAATTTAAAAAAAAAAAATACTAGTGATCAGAGAAGACTTCTCAGCAGCAGGAGCTCATATGTAAGGTTCTAGTGTAATTAACGCTATATTTTGGGCTTTTCCCATCTACCCAGATAAATTTCTGAGGCTGTTCAGGAATGTACACAGTATGGATGAGTTAACATTTAATAAAAATGAATCTGTAATTTTCCATTAGGTTTAAAACCGTGATAGACTCTCAAAGGCATTATGCTGAGTGAGAGAAACTAAAGGAAAAACACCACTGTTTCTATTCTCAACACTTCTGATACCAAAGGTATGGAGGTTTTTCCCCATACCAGCCATTTCTCCAATTCTGGGTATCCTGGAATTTAACTCAATTCTGCCACAGACTCCCCAGAGAGAGTGCAGTCAGATTCAGGACTCAGTCCCGCAAGACTGCCCCCTACTTCAGATACCATCACACATTCCAGATTGTCACTTATACATCTGATTGACTGGCTATAAATTGGGGAAGGGGGATCCCGTGACCCCATCCTAAGGTTCAATAATTGACCAGATTCACAAAATGACTCACAAAACTCAGGGAAGCGTTTACTTAACATTCACTAGTTTAAAACACATTTACTGATTTAAAAGGGTGTTACAAAGGATACAGTAAAAAGCCAGATACAGAGCTATGTAGGGCAAGGTATAGGGAAGGGGTGCGGTGATTTCATATCCTGTCCAAGTGTACCACCGTTCCAGTACCTCCATGTGTGTGCCAATCCGGAGGCTCCCCAGACCCTGTTGTTTTAGAGTTTTTACGGAGGTTCCATTCTGTAGGGATAATTGATGAAATCATTGGCAATTGACCTCAGTCTCAAGCCCGTCTCCTTTACGGAGGTCAGGGATGGGGCAGAAAGTTCAACCCTCCAATCACATGGTTGGTTCCTATGGCACTCAGTTCCATCCTTCAAGAGTCACCTTATTAGCATAAACTCAGGTATGGTTGAGAGAAGCTTATATGAATAATAAAAGACATTTCTTTCACACTGTCACTCAGGAAATTATAAGGGTTTTAGGAACCCTGTGCCAAGAACCAGGGACAAAGACCAAACATATGTTTCTTATTACAGTTGGTCCTTGAATAATGGGGGGGTGGGGGGGGCGGGGTTAGGGGCACTGACCAACCTCCCACACAGTCAAAATTTGTGTATAACTTCTAACTTTTCAAAATCTTAATTACTGGTAGCCTACTGTTGACCAGAATCTTACTGATAACATAGTCAATTAACACATGTTTTATGTTATGTGTTTATATACTGTATTCTTATAATAAAGTAAGCTAGAGAAAGTGTTATTTAGGAAATTATAAGGAAGAGAAAATGCATTTACAGTACTGTACTGTATTTACCAAAAAAAATCCATGTATGAGTGGACCGTCACAGTTCAAACCCTTGTTGTACAGAGGTCAGCTGTATATCACAGTATTACAGAAGCCAGTCTCAAAGGCTGCATAATATGTGCTTCCATTTACGTGACATACTGGAAGAGGCAAACTGTAGGGACAGAGAACTGATTAGTGGTTATAAGGGAGGGTTTAAATTTAAAAGGGAATTTTTTAGGGTGATGGAACAGTTCTGTATCCTGATTATTGTGGTAGTTATGCAAAAGCATATATGCATTAAAACTCAAATGTCCATTTTACTGTTTGTAAATTCAAAAACATTGATTAAGAGTATTTACCCTCATTTACCGTTACTGTCCTCATTGGTATTGAAAGACTAAAATCATTTCCTTCAAATTAGGAAGAAGCTAAGGATATCTACCTCTATAACAGACACTCAATTTGAAATCTTAACCAGTATAATGAGTTAAGGAAAAGAAATAATAGCTTTAAGGGATGGAAAAGATATGTTTTCATTTGCAGGTCTTATGGTTGTCTACACAGAATATACGAAAGAATCTAAGGAAAAATTATTAGAATTAATACGATAGTTTACAGTGTTGTGAAATAAAAGATCTGTATGCAAAAATAACTGCATTTCTATATGCCAGCACAAACTTCAAAATAGCATAAAAATACAAGGTTCCTAGAAATCTAATAAAATACATATATTTATATTAAAATGAAAAAACAAAATATTAAATATACTTTTTAAATATATACAAAGATCATTTTTGTAGATTGGATGGTTCAGTATCCTAGAGATATTAATTCTCCCAAACTGATCTATATATTCCATGCAATTCCAGTCAAAATCCCAATAGAGTTTCATAAAACTTAACAAACTGATCCCAAAATTATTGTAGAAAGATCAGAGGCCCAAAAATGGCCAAGAATCAGAACAAGAGGGTGGAGAGGGTGTCATGTCCGGGTAGATAACTGGACCATGTTTTAATTTTTGTATTTAAGACAATTTAGATTGGCACAAGGACAGTCAAACAGATCAGTACCCCGGACTAGAGACCCCTCAAACGGATCTGTGCTTAATTTGGAAACCTGGTGTATGACAGAGCTGGCATTACAGGTCACGGTGAAAGGATGGCCTGTTCCATAAACGGTGCTTGGTAACCAGTTATCCTGTCGGGGGTGGGGGGGAGAATGATTCCTACCTCACATTCCAGAAGATCAAACACATAAGCCAGGACTTTAAAACATACTAGAAAAAAAATATGGCACAAAAACACAACTATAAAGTAACATTGGTAAATCTGATTAGATTGAAATTAAGAACTTCTTTTTCTCAATAGACAACATAAAAAATGAAAGACAAGCCACAAACGGAAAAGATGTTGCAACAGAACAACAGATATAACCACCAAAGCTTTAATATCCAGAATAAAGAACAGGAAACTTAAATGGAGCTAGATAGGCAGCACATACAATACACATATGTGTATATTTATATAGGTGTGTGTGTGTGTGTGTTTTTTAATTCTATATTTTCATATATAAAATGTACATCTCTAGTAATCAAGGAGATGCAAGTTAAAACCACAATGAAATATCTTCTAGCCTTCAGGCAAAAATTTAAGAAAGTGACAATACCAAATATTGGTGAGGATGTACAGCATTGACAATTCTCATTGACTATTGGTAGGAATGTGAATTGGTACAATCTATTTGGAAGATGGTTTGACATATTCATATAAAGTTGAGTATGCATGTGCCCTATGACACAGCAGTTTCACTCCTAGATGTATAAACCCTAAAGAAACTCCTATTCATATGCACCAGGAGACATGTACAAGAGTGTTATTAGGAGCATAGTTTATATTAGCAAAAAACTAAAAACAACCCAAATGTCTTTCAAAGGAAAATGGGTACATTGTTAGATATGTGTGGAATACTATACAGCAGTGAAGATGAATGGATTACAGCTATAAGGGTCAACATAAATGAATCTCAGAAGCACACTATTGGGGGTGAAATAATTCAGTTTACACAGTGTTGAGAAACAGACAAAATGAAATAAAATAGGCTCTGGCACATAGTAAATGCTATAGTATTGGCTAAAGTTATTAATATTAATGAACATGTAGCAAATCTATAAAGCAAGAGTGTAACACCAACTTCTTATTGGTGGTTACTTAGGGAGAGCCATGTGATCATTTAGGGATATACTGTGGTTTCAGAGATACTGGCAATATTCTTTTTTTTTTTTTTTTTTAAGATTTATTTATTTATTTATTTATTTGACAGAGACACAGTGAGAGAGGGAACACAAGCAGAGGGGGTGAAAGAGGGAGAAGCAGGCCTCCCGCCAAGCAGGGAGCCCGATGCAGAGCCCTATGCGGGGCTTGATCCCAGGACCCTGGGATCATGACCTGAGCCGAAGGCAGACACTTAACGACTGAGCCACCCAGGTGCCCCGATACTGGCAATATTCTTAAGCTAGGTGGCAGAAACATGTTTTCCCATATATAACTTATTCTTTCAAATGTACATATATATTAAATATCTTCTTTGTATGTGTGTATTTCCCAGTAAAAACTTTTTTTGGAAATGCATTAAAATAGCATTGAAACTCTTTGTATCAGCATAGTAGTCACATCTTTCACTTTTACAATTTAAAAATGGGTTGTGCTACCCATATCCTTTACGTCTTTGAAAAGACTTAGAGCTTTTGCTTGAATCATTGTGGTCCAGTCATTATTAGATTGTATTAAAGTAGGGAATAAATAAAACCAAACCAATTCACTGAAAAACTAGAAGATAGAAGAACTGTACTAGACTAAAAATATAAGCCTTCTCCTGCCTAACTTGTTCTTCCATATTATGATATTAATCCAGGTATAGGGCTTCTTTGTATTTCTGTGAGAAATGCAAAGTTTCCTGTATCTCTAATCATTAGGCATTTCAGAGAACAAGCTTCCCAAGATAGAATTTCCATGGGTTAGCTGTAACTCAGGAATGCTAAATTGTTTGCAGTGCAGTGTAAGTGACTTTCTTTCTTCAAAAGCAAATTGTATCAATTTATCTTGTTTACTGAAGAGGACCTTTGCTGATTTGCCTTTGTGCATATTTGTAATTTGGCGGCTTTTGCCCATAGGATCTTGGGTTCACTAAAGAGGGATGTATGTAAAGCATAGGGAAACTTTAATTTGTTGCTGGTTTGCCATCAGTGGCAGTGGGCATTCCACATGGGTATTGCCAGGCCCAAGGTACAGAGACCAAAGAAGAAGAGAAAGGAAACAGAAAAAGAAGTACAGGAAGAGTGAGGTCGTATCCCTTAACACTTGTTCCAAGAACCAAGATGGCCTGGTTTTGCTCTGGGTACGCCTGAATGTCATGCAAAAGCCAGTACATGAGAAAAAAATGGTAAATCTTTATAGCTTTGATAATGGCTTTCATCCTTAATGTTCCTTTTCTTCCCGTGTCCCCTTTAGTCTTTCACTGTTTGGTTTTTTTTTCAACATTTTGCAAGAAGGGAAAGTTCATTAGACCCAAAGCCACTCTTGAACTTTCAAACATGGACTTGAAGACCTGTTGTTTCAAAGAATGTAACTTTTTCGCAATTTATTTTTTCCCTAAAACAAAGATCTTCTGTAAGTTTAATTTTTTTTTAAATTTGTAGACACTGTCGATTCCATTACTCCTGACAAAGTACGAGGTTTAAGGGATATGCTGAACAGCAGTGCAATGGACATAATGTATTATACTAGCCCACTTTATAGAGATGAAGTAAGTATCATGATTATCCTGTTGCTGTTGGGTATTTTTTAGAGTGATAGCATATGTGTCCTGAATTTTAAATTTTTATGCACTTATTTTTATAAGCAAATGAGAATTTGCAGGAATCCATTAACCTATAAATAGCCTGTGTTTAATGGTAAATTTGATTATCTTCAAACTACACTTGGGAAACCCTTAATAAAATGGATAATCTTGGAAGTCAGAGATTGGTTAGAAAACGACTCTTTGAAAAATACCAGTTTTTATAAATCTGATTAATTTTATCTACAATTATTGTCCTCACAAAAAAGTTTTAGACACTTAAGAAATTTCCTTCAAGTTTTTTGATTGTAATAGACTTGCATTTATTGTGTCATTTCTGTAGTGAATTCGTATAGTTCTTAAATTGTAATGTTGCTGATGCATCACAAAAATAACCCTGGGGGAAATGGGTAAGGGTAAAAGTTTATTCAGAGGGATGAGAGACTCTCCACTGAATGCATTTTGTCACTTTATTGGTAAGAGAAAAAGAATTCTGTTTCATAGGAATAACCTTGTTAATTACCTAGCATGTGTTATCTAATCCTCTCATAAAAACCCAATGAGGTAGATATAATTAGTATCCTCATTCGAAAGATGAAGAAACTGATACAAAGAGTAGTTACCAGTAGAGCTGCTCTGTGCTGCTCCAAGCCAGTTCATTTCTTGATTCTGCTCATTCAGAGTCATCCCTGATTTCACTCAGGATATCCCTTGCATATCTACAGAAGTATATTGGGTTAATTGCCACAGAATTTCCTTCTCTTTGGGCTGCCATCCCCTCAGGATTTTTCACCATTCCTCTTTCTATATCCCCTCATTGTCGTATCCCAGTATGGGATAAAGTCTGCCTTGATCTGCTTGAGAACAGTAAAAGAAAGTACAATAAACAGTAAAAACAGTAAAAAGAAACTATACTGGACCTCATTCTAACCCAAAAAGGAAGGCCTGGTTCATGAAGTAGAATACTAATAATTTACATGTTCATATCCACTGTTGGATATGCCCTAAAGGTTAGGAAATTGTGAACTATAGTATTGCAAGTGAAACCAGTAAGGGGAAAAAAAAAGGAAAGAGAATGGCTGAGAGCATATAACATACACACACACACACACACACTCATAAACCGTAAGTATACCTTATACACACACAACAGGTATATGGTTGTTAGGCTTCCTAAGAAGGTATCCTGAATGCTTAAGGGTAAAATGTACTGAGACATGTCCCCCAAAACTAATATTAAGAGCTGTTTAAAAAAAGTTTTAAGTTGACGTTAATAACAGGAAAAACTAGAAAAAGTGTCAGATTCAAAGCTCTGACCATTGCCTAGTGATGACTGAGAAAGTGGTCACTTTCTATTTTAGTCTCTTATATCTCCAAAAATAGTTATCTTCGTAATGGAATTGAATAAAACCGATACCCAGTAGAAAGAGGGAACTGATAGCTAAGATAGATGAAATAGAGAACACCCAGAGTGGTTTTTTTTTTTTTTTTAAAGATTTTATTCATTTATTTGAGAGAGAGAACGTGTGCTCCTGCAGGGGCTAGGATTCAGAGGGAGAGGGAAAAGCAGGCTCCCAGCTCCCCACTGAGCAGGGAGCCTAATGCACCATCCCAGGACCCTGAGATCATAACCTGGACTGAAGTCAGACGCTTAACCAACTGAACCACCCAGGTGCCCCAAGAACACCCAGCGTTTTAAATTAGTTTGTCTTTTAATCCAGTTGAATTTTGTGGAAAAGCACCAGAGAACTTGTGGCTGAGACTCATCATCAGTCTTGAACACTGTTTCCCAGTTTCCCAGACATCCTTAACTAGAACAATTACTTGGGGTACTCCTTAAAAATATAGGCCAAAAAAAAACAGTCTCATGGGGGCTATTGGAATTAAAGGTATAAATGTGAATTCATGATTTTGAAAATATGTGGATGTGTATAGATATCTATATATTTAAGTGTATGTATATATATATATGTATGTATATACACATGTATACATTTCCCACCTGTGTGCATTGAAAGGGCCAAGAAGCGAGGCTACCCCAATCTAATGAGCACACCTAGGACCCAGATCTTTGTCTCCAGTACTATTATTACCTTCTAAGATGAACTAAGTTTCCTTAGGAAAATGGCTGATTCCAGGCCTGGAGTAGAGAAAGGAACAACTTGTCATGACAGAAAATAGGAAAATGCTCGAAAGAATGATGGGGCAGATCCCACTGGCCAAATCTGGAACAATTTGAGCACCAAATAATCAAGTAATTATTATTACTTATTATAAGGAATTGGTAGTAGTAATTTTAATATAGAATTATAATAAGGGTAATATAATAAGGAGTTATAAAACCACTAAAAAATTCATGATCCGTGTTGATTACAAATAGATAAACAAATGGGGGAGAAAGCTTCTTTGCCCACGGTAAATGCAAAGGGCTTTCTGAAAAATGAGGGAATGCTGGAGGAAAATCCTCATTTTGCCACTGTCGTGGTAGGATCAGGTAAAAGAGGCTTGGGCAAGATTAGTCAATGGATGCTTAATTGAGGGCATTATTTTGATGAGGAACAAGATATTTGCATAGTCTTAAAAGTATATCTTCACTGCTTATTAGTTAAAGAAAGGAACAGGTATAGAGTGGAGAAATTAGGCAACACCTTTACTGGGTGTTATGAGGGACAGTCAGAGGACACAGCATCATTTATGCAGTACTCCAGTCATTAGGAAACATCAAACATAGAATGAGGATGTTCAAATAAAGTAAGACTGGGACTGTGTTCCTTTAAAATGTAAATATTGTGAAAGACAAAGAATGGCTGTGGAGAATGTTCCAGATTAAAGGAGGCTAAAGAGACAGAATAGCTCAATACAACATCATATCCTAGACCATAACTTGTACTGGATGGGGGGAAATGCTACAAAGAATGTTATTAAATCATCTGATAAAATGTGGATGGTAGATCAGATTAGATGAAATATTATATCAAAGTAAATTTATGAAATTGATTACTACACTGAGTATGGAAGAGAATATTCCTAGTCTTAGGAAATATACACTGGAGTATTTAGGGGGTAAAGGACGATGATGTATGTAATATATTCTCAAATGGTTCATAAAAAAATGTACATGGGTGTGTGTACTACAGAAACAGGATAAAATGCTAACAATAGATAAACCTTTGCTAAAGGATATGTGGATGATCTTTGTGGAGTTGTTTTTTGTTTGTTGTTTTGTTTTGTTTTTGCAACATTTTATAAATTAGAAATTATTTCCAGGTAAAAGGTTAAGAAAAGGAATGAAAAAAATGGTTTCCAGGGTCTCCTCCCTGGAGATTCTGATTCAGTGGGTCTGAGGTAGAGCCTGTGAATTTGTGTTTTTTAACAGTTCACCAGGTGATACCATCAGGGACATTTGGAAGACATTGCTTAAGGTATTGTGAAGAACAAAAGAAAGCTTAGTGAGAAGCAAGCAAAAATCGTTCTTAATGTTAAAAAAGGAAAGCTGATTCTTCAAATCAAGCCCATTTAGGACAGGGTTGTTGTTAGCCTGTATTCTAGATTAAATTATTTTTAAACAGTATATGTTTCTTTAAGGAAGTAGTGATAAATAACAGAAATCAGGAGTTCTTTAGAATTATATCTTGCCTGGTGAATGAACCTTGTTTGGTTTATTCAATAAGCATATGAAAGAGCCTTTTTTTCCCTTTCTTTCAGCCTTTGGAGTTAAAATAGATGCCATTCAAAACCTGCCACTTAACTAGCTCTGTGACCTTAGATCACATTTCTCACTGTCACAGCTTCCTCACTTATAAAATGGACACAAGATACCTACCTGATAAAGGTTGTCATGAGGATTAAAGATGTAATGTATATAAAGTTCCCAGTACAATTCCTCGTCCTTAGATTCTCAAGTTGTGATTAATTATCTATCGGTCTTTATGTATTTCAAGGGCTCCCATTTAAGAAAAAAAAAGGAATAGACTTACTCTGTTAACTCTAGAAAGTGAATAAAGATCAGTGATAGAAAATATGGAAAGGAACATGTTTGTTTACTAATGAAGAACTTTGTAAGTAACTAAAGCTGCCTTAAAAAAAAATAGGAATGTCTCAAGGGAAAAAAATTGTAAATAATGTCATGGATTTTAATTAAATTTACTTGTAGTGATCATTTCACAATTTATACATCTATCATATCGTTATGTTGTGCACCTTAAACTTATACAATGTTGTGTGTCAATTATATCACAATAAACTGGAAAAAAGTTTTTATATACTAGAAGTATCCACCTTAGAGTGGAGATACTCACTGGGGTAGATGCCGAGCGATTTACCCAGATGCCACTGAAGGGACTCATTCACAGCAGCTTAAATTAGATCATCTCTTAGTTCCCCTTTCACTGGAGATTGTGAGATGCTCATGGGAGGGCCCTAATTAGTGATTGTGCCAATAATCATTAAAAAGCCATGGTTAAGGGAAAAGTTTTGTATATCAATTAGTGCTTCTCAGGTCACACTTTCCAAGAACCAATTAAAAAAAGGAAACTAGGGGTGCCTGGGTGGCTCAGTCGTTAAGCGTCTGCCTCCGGCTGAGGTCATGATCCCAGGGTCCTGGGATCGAGCCCCACATTGGGCTCCCTGCTCTGCGGGGAGCCTGTTTCTCCCTCTCCCACTACCCCTGCTTGTGTTCCCTCTCTTGCTGTGTCTCTCTCTGTCAAATAAATAAATAAAATCTTTAAAAAAATAAAAATAAATTAAAAAAGGAAACTAATCCAGACTACAGAGACATCATCAAAGAGCCTTTGGCCCTGACTTTAACCCTGAATAAAGTAACATGAAAAATCGAGAGAGAACTATACATCTTGTACATCTGAACTCTCTTTTGAATGACTTTTAAAAATGAAAAATCTTAAAGAGAATGGTCACGGCCATCTCTTGTTATTATTACTTGGAAATCGTTCAAATGATGCATATAACTAAAACTCTCTAAATTACTTTTACTCATTAAAATTTCCTGAAGCAGAGGGAAGGACAAAGGACTAATTATATTCTTCAGCCATACTTTTTGGGTTTGGATTCTCTGTTGAAACTGCTGGCTTTTTCCTTTTGGGTTAATTTTCTTCATAAATTTTAACTATTAAGCAGCAGTTATGAGAACTAAAAACTCCTAAGCTTTTGAAGAGCCTTCAGTTGCCTACCGTGTGAGAGGCTAGCTGACTTGATTAGATAATATTGTAGAGCTAATAAAATTAATATCACAGGGCATATCATTAATCTTGGTTCATATATCTCAAATGAATATACTTGGTCACAAAGGGATCATAGCTGGGAGAATATAATTGATCAGCGAGGAGAAGGAGAAAAAACCCTAGTTAGTGTGGACTTTGTGGACACAAAATAGAGGCGGAGTTTTCCTTTTGCTGCTGACTGGATGATTTATAAAAGCATTTCAAGGTAATGCACAACTGTTTAAAACTTGGCTTTCAAAATCATAATGTTTTGGAACACAAACATTCCTATGTATGTAAGCTATGGGCAAAGATTAAAAATGCTACCATATCTAGATATGTTCTAATAAGGAAACATGAAGACCACTTCTGTTCAAGCATATGATTACTAAAATAGATGAAAGCATCAGCTCTCCAGAAACTGTCCATTCTGTGTTTCATTCCATGGTGAAATATTTTAACATCAAATAGACTTTCTCTGTCTTGGCTATTTACCCTTGTTTTGTTATCCATATATGATTACTGAAGTATTGGGTGTAGTGAGAAATGCTTTAAAATTTTTTTGGTACGAAATAGATTACTCACTGGTAGAGATGCTGGTAGATCTTTTCCCTTTTTTTAATTTTTAAATTTTGATGGGGAGGGTGGTATTTTAAAACAAAAAGATTGGATACCTTTTGCCAGAGTACTTAAGTATATGTCTTTTAGTGTTTCTAGATTTCCATGGTATAAGTCTTAAAATCAAGGACTTCAAAAGTAAGAACTACTAATAAATGTTGCTTTTGAAGGAATTTATCTTGTCTATATGTTAGCTTTCCTGGACCTCCTTTCATGTAGATTATAAATCAAGAAAAATACAAATTTTAAGGGTTACTTGATATTCTTGTCAAAGTTAAGTCCAAAGCATTACACTATTGAGCAGAGCCCTGTAATTCATAGCACACTGTATACTCCTTAAACTATATTGACTGGAATTATCTACAACCCACGTCTTAGAAGGTTTTTATATGCATTTGCCACTTAAGGCAGTAGTTCCTAAAATGTGGTATCCAGAACTGCTGAATCAGACACTCTCATTTGGAGCCTAGCAATCTGTTTTTAACAAGCCCTCCATGTGATTCTGATGCACTTTGAAAGTTGGAGTTGGCTTTTCCCAAGAAAAAAGTTAAAATGTCCAGTTAAAGTATAAGCTTTGTTTGCATTTCTCCCTAGAGAAAAGGCAGCTTATCACCCTTCCACATGCTAGCAGCTCCTCCTATATCCTTCTCTTCCTTCATTGGCTGAGTGTATCTCATCAGACCCAACACATGCTTTCAGTAGCTTTAAGCAGACCTCAGTATTGCATTGCAGAGCCCTGTGATGCCAACCGTCAGGAGAGAGCACCATGCCTTCGTTCATGTCCCTGCTAATCCTGCCAAGCATGAATGCTCAACTGATTTTCAGTTAATGTCAGCAGGTAGAAAATGTTCAGTAAAATCTAGTGGAGGCTAGTTGCCTCTTGAGTTGGAATAACAAGACCAAAAATAGAAGTAACACGTAAGTGATATTTGTACATCAGAGCGACGGCTGGCATTCTAAGAAGTACTGAAATGAGGAAGTAAATTAATAGCAGGCAGGAAATTTATAATCACATAGTAGTAAGCAATGGTAGGGTGAGGAGGGGACTGCCTTAAAACTCAGTCAGGCCCCAGTATGGGTTGGGCAACAAACAAACATCTTTCTGACTTTATGGGCTGTTTCAGTTAATATTTGTTAAAGCTAAATTTCAAAGGAAGCAATTTTACAAAGAAAAATGACTAAGGTACTTCTCACATTACTAACATTAAGCCTTAAAAAGCCCTGCTTTGCAGCCACATGAAACAACATTTCACTCATATCTATATTGCCAACTTAATGGGAATCTTGGAATATCGAGTAGATCCACGTTAGCTTTTTTTTCTATCAACCAATGGCCTTTCATTACATTACTCTTATCTAAATGCACAGTGTCATAACATATATTTTAGCACACCTGTTAGCATAAACCCAGATAGTCTTTCTCTAAAATTTACTATAGCTTAAAACTACAAGATTCAAAAGTTTAGAATAGCATAAGAATAAGTTGCAATGAAGAAGAAATTTGAAGGGGCTCTTTGGGAAACTTACTGGACTCTGCATGGAACTTTGTTAGCTGCTTTAAGGACCGTGAAGAGATCTAGGTGCTAATATCTGCTTTCATTCTTTAGCGATGAGATGGATTACACATTATGTATATTTTCATTTTCTGCAAGGTTTTGAAGCACCTGAGTTAATTTTAATGACTTAGGTATATTTAGCCAGTAACATCTGTTTTTCTTTCTTAATGTATTTGAGTTTAGAAATAAAGTTTATAGCAAAGTCAGTGACTACTCTAATATGATAATGTTTTCTTATTTCAAACAGCTAGTTAAAGGCCTTCAGCAAGAGCTGAATCGATTATATTCCCTTTTCTGTTCTCGGAATCCAGACTTTGAAGAAAAAGGGGGTAAAGTCTCAATAGTGTCACATTCTTTGGGATGTGTAATCACTTATGACATAATGACTGGCTGGAATCCAGTTCGACTCTATGAACAGTTGCTGCAGAAGGAAGAAGAGTTGCCTGATGAACGATGGATGAGCTATGAAGAACGACATCTGCTGGATGAACTCTATATAACAAAGCGACGGTAAAATATCCTAGTCTCTTCAAAGCATTTTAAAAGTGTGGAATTACTGGACTTCTTAGGAGAACACTGTAAGATGTTCATGATAAAGAAAAATATATTATTCGGAGTGCGAAGATTATTAAATGCCTAATCAGCTAGAGACTATTTTGTTAATTTTCATGCTAATTGCATGTGTGTTCCAATAGCACAAAATAAGTTGTTTTGTCATCATCTTATTTTTCCTTCCATCTCTTCTTCACAATTTATTAGGAGTGAAACCTAAAACTTACTCCAAGCTGAGTCACCACACAGAATCCTTATCGAAAATGTTTACCAGGTTATAATCCTTCATAGTTTTTACGAATCTTAGAGATGGGACTTTGTCTTATTATTCCGAAAATAATTTTAAAACCCTTTTTTCCTTGGCACATAAATTTTTTCACAGATTTACAATTATTTGATCACTTGTGGCCTTCCTGATACTATCTTATAATTCTTTAACACATTCCTATCTTCATCTATACTTACATATTGCTCTATTCTTTGTCTTCTTAATGCAGCCCATCAGTTCTAGTGGAATAGTGAAAAGTCACTGATTTTGATAGTTAGCATCATATAAAAACAATTTAGTTGACTAAAACTTCTTTTCAGGAAGCCTTGGATTTGTTTTAGTCTTATAGAAGTTGCCTAAGGATTTCATTTAGAATATAATTAAGTACCATAGGCTAGATACATAAATTTTGTAGTGTCAAAATAATTATAGTTTTGAAAGAAAATATAAGCAAGCCTCAGAATAGCATTTGAGATATAAAATCCAGTAAAAAAAAAAAATGAGGTTTAGAAAATGAACTAACCTTTAAAAACAATTGTTATTTATTAAATGTAAGTAGATACAGAACATTAATGGAAAAAATTGAAATAACCCAAATGTTAATCAGCAGAGAAGGATTAATAAACTGTGGTTGATCTGATCTGTATGAAGGACAATTACACAGCTATTACAAAGATTGAAGTAAATCAGGAGGCAATGAAATGAAAAGACCTCCAAGATTCATTATTAAATGTAGAAAAAAAGAAAGACATAGAACATGTATATGGCATGAACGTTCGGTGTGATTCTTTTTTTTTTAAATGTATATATGCTTGTATTTGCCTCAACATTTTTCTGAAGGATCCTCCCAAAAAGCTATTAACAGCAGCTATTATGAAGAGTAGCGGTACTTTTACTAATCATTTTATAAACATTATTTATAGACTACAGCATGTGCATTTGTTAAATACTGTCAATAGGGATTAATTTTAGGGATTGGATAATGGGTCATCGTTTTCTTTAGTGAACTAGTGAGCATCTAATATTTATGAAGTTATAAATACTAGTATATAATCTCATACTGCTTCCTAGGCTGAGAGAAATAGAAGAACGGCTACATGGATTGAAGGCGTCATCCATGACACAAACACCTGCCTTAAAATTTAAGGTAAGGAAAGAGAGATGAGATTTTCATTATTTATCTCAGTTTCTTTTCAAACATCATTTGAAGCATGACATTAGCACTCAAGTGAAATCTGAATTTTTCTTTCAAATGAATATATATTGAACACATGCTGTGTATTGGACATTGCTAGTTTTGGAGTTCTACAAGGAAAAGAATGGACAAGATGGTTCCCCCACCGTCAGGATATGTAACACAGTGTTATTTGTACTATTAGCAGTGTATAGATGACATATACATGAGAGAGGGGTTTAAATTTTGCCCGGAAAGGTTTACAAAGGAATGACATTCGTACTTGATCTCAGTAAATTGGATTTTGCCAAGTGGAGGAAAGAGAAATGCTATTCTGTGTAAAAGAAACAGCATAACAAAGGTGTGGAGGAATATGACTTCATAGTACAAGAAACATGAAATAATCTCAAATAGTTGGAAGGGAAAAGAGAGACAGATTTGGGAAATATTAAGCATTTAGAATTAACAAACCTTAGTAACCAGCTAGTTGTGGCTGATAAGAAAAGTAGAAGTATAATTAGTGATGATTTTAGGGATGGAAAGTTGGCATTTCATTCAATGAGAAGTATATGACAGAAACACAAGATGGGGTGTATGTGGTTAGTTCAGAGCAAAAAAAAAAACACAGGATTGGGCAACAGGCTGTAGGATAACAGGAAAAGCTAGAAATAAAGACCTTATATTTGATTGGACAGTGGGAAACTTTTCAGGGTTTTTGAGCATCAGAATGGAGCTGTTGAAAGCAGTGGTTTAGAAGAATAAAAAGTGACAGAGAGAGGTGGACATTGACCTGACTTTTGGAAAGGACACAGCCTGTAGCTGAATAACAGAGAACTTGTTTGCAGTGTTAAATGGAGCATGGCATAAGTTCCCTAATACTCATTTCCTTTTGAATGTATACCCTAGGATAGTGTACTATATTATCTCTTCTTAAAATCTCTTTCTTTTATCACAGGAACTTAATATCCAGGTTAAGTAATGGAATGATGCAGAAATTTTTTTTTTTAAAGCAGTAAGAACTTTCTTACTGAGCCTATCTCTATGACTTATGTTTTCTTTTTAAACTTAACACATTTAAAAGCCATATGGTAACGTTATAACTTATATTTAAAAACCATATGAGCATGGTCTTTGGAGTCATCCCCACCTGGAATTTGAGTTCCATCTCTACCGCCATTATTACATATAATCAATGTGTTAAATACGTAGAAATGATCTGATAGAAAAAGTGAACTCTTGTATTTCAAGTCCTGCGGTTTTCACTGGAGAGTTGAGTATGATCCACCAAGTATATTAGGTTCTCAGTATTCAATATCATACTACTAGAACTTATACACTATAATTGTGTATTCTTCTAAAACATAGTCATATGTAGTCTAATAGTAGGGATTTTTAATTGTTATTTAATGACTCATGGAGAAAAAAATATAGAAATCTGAAATTTAAAAAGGAATATCTGATGAATTGCCAAATATTTAGGACTCCAGAGATCTAAGAGGAACAGAATAGGTGGATTTACTTTGAGAATACAGGTGTTAGATCTGTTACAGGTGACCACTGAATTAAAAAAAAAAAAAAAAAAAAACTATTGACAAATAACTGGTCTGGAGAGTGGGAAACTTTGTTTCTGATCATGAAGCTTTGCTGCTAACTGGTTATGTAATGTCAGCCAAATCATTTAAGATCTCGAATTCATCTGGGGGTATCTGGGTGGCTCAGTCGTTAAGCATCTGCCTTCGGCTCAGGTCATGATCCCAGGGTTCTGGGGTCAAGCCCCACATCGGGCTCCCTGCTCAGCGGGAAGCCTGCTTCTCCCTCTCCCACTCCCCCTGCTTGTGTTCCCTCTCTCACTGTGTCTCTCTGTCAAATAAATAAAATCTTAAAAAAAAAAAAAATCTCGAATTCATTTGTTTACTCCCCTCTGGACAAGGAGGTTAGACTAAATGTCTGAAGCTCTTTTTCACCTTTAAAATTCTTTGATGGATGTAGATATCACTAAGGCAGTCATTACTCCTAGAATAATTACTGGTGTGTTTGTGAAACTGCATACCAATGATAAAGAAAAGTTATTCATTCCAGGGATGTAGCAATTTAACAAACATTTATGAAACGCCTGACCAGAGCATAAAGCATTTTGCTAGGGTGTATATGTATATACGTGTGTGTATCAAGCAGAAGGATTTACAAAAAAAAAGGGGGGGGATTTACATAGCTTCTCTTCTATCTCAACTATTTTTTGTATCGTTCTCTTTCCTTTATTATCTTAATTATCTTAATCCTTTCAAAATTGGTGTTTTCATCTGTTTCACTATTTCAAATGCTTTTTCCTATAATTTTAATTAACACAAGTTAATTTTCTTCAGACATGTTGAAGTTACCCAGTCCTTTAAAAACAAACAAAAACTTTGTCATACCTTCTTTAACATAAAGGTACCATTTTCAAAATATATATTCATTCATTTGGAAAAAAAGAAGAATCACTTCAGATGCAGTGGGGGAAGAGATTAAAGGTACATAAAATTGGAGCCAGAGATGATACAGTGCAGTCCAGATGAGGGGCCATAAGGAGAAGTGTTAGAGTCTGTTGGAATAACTTCTTTGATGTTGGGGAGGAGAGGGAAGGATGAATTGGGGATGTCTCACTCATCAGGATAATGGGACAGATGAGAGATGTACGGTGACTTTAGGAGGAAGGGGTGTCAGGTTCTGTATATAATCCAGTGCTGCTGACCACACTAGTTTTCTAGAAGCCCTCTCCCATGGCTTCCATGTAGACTGCATTATCCTGGTTCTCCTTTTCCTTTCACTCTCCCTTTTGTAGTCTGCCTCCTTCACCCTGCTAATCAAATGTAGACATTGCTCATAGTTCCAGCTAAAGCCCTCTCTTACTCTGTGCAATTCCTAAGTCATCTTACCCCTTCTCTGGCTTTACATGTCACTTCTGTGATGGTGACACATAGACTTGGGAGAGGACATATATCTCTTGCCCTAAAATCTCGGCCCATTAGGTATGTTACAGATACTTCAAACTTAACTGTGAACAAAAGCAGGACTTACCTAGAGTTTCCTATTGTAGTAAGTGAACCACTGTCTTCCCAGTCAGCCAGACCCAAAGCTTGTAACTTGCCTCTGACTCATTGCTCATCCCCATCTCCATTCAGTCATGTTGATTCCACTCTCCTCTCCCATTTCCATTTCTGAATGGAACATCTTTTTTTTTTTTTAAGATCTTATTTATTTATTTGACAGAGAGAGACACAGCAAGAGAGGGAACACAAGCAGGGGGAGCAGGAGAGGGAGAAGCAGGCTACCCACCAAGCAGGGAGCCCAATGCAGGGCTCAATCCCAGGACCCTGGGATCATGACCTGAGCTGAAGGCAGACGCTTAACCACTGAGCCACCCAGGCACCCCTGAGTGGAACATCTTGTCCAGCCCGGTTCAGATTATCTTTTGCTTAAACACTTTCAGTAGTTTCCTAACTTGTCTCTGAGTCACCGGAGCCTCAGTTTTCCAGTTCATCCACACACTACTACCAGGTTTACTAACCACCTAAAACATGGGTCAAATCCTTTTCTTCTTTACTACTTATAAAATCAGTTAAGTCCTACTTTTTTTAGTCAAATAGTCAAGGTTCTGTACATTCTCATTCCAAGTTAACGTTTTCCTGACACGCAATTTTTCAACTATATCCGACTATTTCTATTTTCTAAATTGAGCCAGATTCTCTCCTGCGTCTGCCTTAGTTCATAGTGATTTTATCAATCTAAAATGTCCTCCTTTCTGGCCCAGTGACCCAGCCCCAAATGTGTAGAAATCCTTTTTACCTTTTATCGCCAATGTGAATGCTTCCTCCTGTGTAGTAGAACAGACATTTCTCCAAAGAAGACATACAGATGGCCCACAGACACATGAAGGAGTGCTCAACATCACTCCCCATTAGGGAAATGCAAATCAAAACCTCAGTGAGATACCACCTCACACCGGTCAGAAAGGCTAAAATCAACAACACAAGAAACAGCAAGTGTGGGTGAGGACATGGAGAAAAAGGAACCCTCGTGGACTGTTGGTAGGAATGCAGACTGGTGCAGCCACTGTGGAAGACAGTATGGAGGTTCCTCAAAACATTAAAAATGGAATACCATAGGATCCAGTAATTCCACTACTGGGTACTAACCCAAAGAGTAAGGAAACACTAATTTGAAAAGATAGATGCACCCCTATGTTTACTGCAGCATTATTTATAATAACCAAATTACGGAAGAAACATAAATGTTCATCAATAGATGAGTGGATGAAGAAGATGTGATTGATATATATATATATATATATATATATATATATGCACCATGGAATATGAGTCATAAAAAAGAATGAAATCTTGCCTTTTACAACAACATGGATGGATCTAGTGGGTATAATGCTATGTGAAATAAGTCAGAGAAAGACAAATACCTTTATGATTTCACTCATTTTGTGGAATTTAAGGAACACATTGACAAAAAGACAAACAAATAGACTCTTAAATACAGAGAACTAAGTGGTAGTTGCCAAGGAGAGGTGTTGGGGGGGTGGTGATGGGTGAACTAGGTATAGGGGATTAAGAGTACACTTACTGTGATGAGTTCTGAGTAATATATAGAGTTGTTGAATCACTATATTGTATACCTGAAACTAATAAACACTGTTAATTATACTGGAATTAAAAAAACTTCACACAATGTGGGGAAAAAAATGCTTCTTCCTGTGTAAACACCCTCAGAGTTGGAATTATTCCTTTCTTTACTCTCTTTTTATTTTTTTTTAGATTTATTTATTCATTTATTTATTTGAGAAAGAGAGAGAGCACAAGCAGGGGGAGCGGCAGGCAGAGGGAGAAGCAGGCTCCCCACAGAGCAAGGAGCCCAATGCGGGGCTCGAACCTAGGACCCTGGGATCATGACCTGAGCCAAAGGCGGATGTTTAACTGACTGAGTCACCGAGGCGCACCTTTTCCTTACTCTCTTATAGCAGTTTTTCCCTCTATTCATTTATTTTATTCTGCCTTCCCCACAGGATTGTAAACTCTTTGAGTGCAGAAGTTCTGCCTTATTGGTCTTTATAGAATTCACAGCGCCTAGAATATTACTTAACACAAAATAGTAGCTTAATGAAACTAAGGAGGTCTTTCTCATTCTTCTCATTCTTTGTTTTCTTAGATTTAAGGAAAAAGACGTTGCTTCTGAAAATAGATTTTTAGAATAATTAATGGTTGGCATATAATTAACAAGTAATGTGGATACCATATAATTAACAAGTAATGCAGATACCATCCAAAACATCCAAAACATCCAAAGCTCATGAAAAAAAGACTTTGAAGATAATTTTATTCGCATTTTTACCATGTATTATATTGTGCCCAAATTCTGCTGAAAAACACTTCACCAGTTTTAAAATTTAGGATAACTTTATCATTTTAGGTTGAGAATTTCTTCTGCATGGGATCCCCACTAGCAGTTTTCTTGGCATTGCGTGGCATCCGCCCAGGAAACACTGGAAGTCAAGACCATATTTTGCCCAGAGAAATCTGTAACCGGTTACTAAATATCTTTCATCCAACAGATCCAGTGGTGAGTTCCAGTTATAGATGTTTTTCCCTCAATACCAAATCATTCCTAAAGACTCTGTAAGAAATATTGCAAGGTACACCTGAACTAATGAGAAGTGAGTTCATTTATCTGAGTATATTTTCATAGATTCCTATTTTTAAGACATTTGTGTTTTGGTTATAACTTATAGGGCTCAGAAAATACCTTAGAGATGATCTGTTTATGTTATAGTGTAATAGCATAATGAAAAATATTATCTCTGGGCAATTAATACCTGGAGCGGGAGTCTTCTTAACTGTTAAACCATTACCAGTTGTGATACCAATAAGCCAGGAACCATAAATTTTAAAATCCCACTTTGAACTCTTCTTTCTCGAAAGCATGCTACAATATTGAAATGTGTCTGGTAGGTCCCCTTAGAAATGAAAATATTTTAATATTATGTGTTAAACATGAAAAAATGGATGAATTTATTTTAGCCTGGTGGGATTATAAAATTTGAGGTTTTGATATTCTCTCATGTTTGTACTGTTAATAATTTTTTAATGTAAATACTCCAGTGATCTTGCATCCAGGTAGACCATTTAATACCAAGTAAGATTTTTAGATGAGAAAAATGCTCCTTTAAATTCTTTTTGGGGACAAGGTTAGGTATAACTAAATTTAAAACAAACCATTTTAAATAGCATTCATTCTCAGAAAAATAGCTTTGTCTTTTAAAAGATCTTTAGCTAGTACCAAGTAAATATAACATTGATTAAATACAAGAATTTTAGAAAATTTCCTATATGTTAAAGAATCAAAAATGCTATATTTAAGAAATAAATTTCACTGAGTTGGAAACTAGTATTAGATTCAAATACAGACTGCACAATCTTGGCCAAGTCTCTCCTGAGACTGTTTGTTTTCTGTATGTTGCAGATGATAATATTTTACCTCATAAGGTTGTTGGTATTAAGTAAAATATATGTGAAAACACCCAGCTAGACATTAAGTATTTCATTAATAAACATTCATTTTACTCATTGCCTTATAACTTGAAAGTGAACTTGAGTTTGTAGGGGAACGCTTTTCATTGTATACCCTATCCTGGGTATAATCTTAACTTTGTTATAAAGGGGGGCTCCAAAGTCATTGTATTATTTTAAGTTATTTTTATTATTCATTTTATAGTTTTCCTGTGACTTTTTTAAGTGAAGTTTTTTTTTAATAAAGTTTATGTCAGAACTGTGCTAGGCAGTATTTACAAACGTTATCTGTTCCTCAACATCCTTGTGAGGTAGGAAGCATTAATCTCCTTCCTATAGCTCGGGAAACAGTGTCTCTGAGACCTTGCAACTTAGTAGGTGTCATGCATTTATAAGCAACAGAGGCCGGAATATGAACTTAGGGAATTCTAATTCTAATTGGCCAAATCCATTCATTACCTTTTCTGCTATATCATCCCTTCTTCACGTTAGACAAATGGTCTTGTATCAGCATGTAATTTGTGCTGTTACTATGTTAATCTGTTTGAAAATAGAGTTTACTAAGAGCTCCTAAAATATTACAGATTGACCTTATTTATCATGTTCTACTTTACTGTTTACTGCTTCAGCTTTGTTGAGACTAACATAAATCTAATTGTTAGATGATATCAGAATACAATAAAAATGAATGTTTCTCTGAAAAACAAATTAATGGGCACTGTTAGCTTAGACCAACGCTAATTGGTTTTTTCAATAATCTCATCATTAAGGATATTTACTTAGACCAATTACATATTATTGACAGTAAACAAATAGGAATGCATGTTAGAAATACCTGGTTTTTTAAAATTCCCTAAGGTCTGCTGAATAGAATAAGAGTAAATAGGCAATAGAATAAGAATAAACAGTTTAGTAAAATCCAAGCATTGTGCCTTAATGTTGTGTTTCTTTGAATTTTTTTAAATCAAGGCTTATAGATTAGAACCATTAATACTGAAACACTACAGCAACATTTCACCCGTCCAGATCCACTGGTATAATACTTCCAATCCTCTACCTTATGAGTACATGAAGCCAAGCTTTCTCCACCCAGCAAAAGAACCTACCTCAATTTCAGAGAATGAAGGCATTTCAACAATACCAAGCCCTGTGACCTCACCAGTCTTGTCCCGCCGACACTATGGGGAATCTATAACAAATATAGGCAAAGCAAGTATATTAGGTAATTTCTCTTAAATATTTCTTATCAGTAAATATGAGCACTTTTTTAGATAGGCATTAAATTTGGGGTACTTGAAAATACTCTATGTATTACAAAACATCCAACACTTAATCCCTGTGTTTAGAATTAACTACCCTCTCACTGTTCATATTGAGAGCCAAAAGCCCTAAAGGTTCTCTAATTAGATCAGATCTTGTAGTTTTAGACTATGAGATAGCTGGGTATTCAGGGGAAGGTCTGGGAATCAAGACCCTCAATTTCATCTTGGCCTTGCCCCCTACTGTGAGATCTTGGGTAAGTCACATCATTTTTAATGGTCTGCTTCCTCATCTGTAAAATGAGGGAATACTTGAATTCTAAGGGTGCCCCTGCCAACAAGTTCCCTGATTTGTGTCTTAACAGTCTTTCAAACCGTGTCCATCCTGGGGGCAACAAAGTTATTTAATTTCTCTTTAAATGATTGCCAACACCAGCCACAGTGTTTGGTGTAGCCCTGGAGCTCAATTATGTGCCACTTCAATTAGTCCATTGCTCTTGGTTACGGGTTGTCTTAATATAAAATGCCACAAGATGGCACTATAAATAGGCTTTTCATTGAAATTTCACTTTGTCCTACAGATTATGATAGCTTTTTATAATATTCACCTAATTTTAGTAGTAAAGCATATCAATAATAAATACATACCCATGTCAATGGCATGGTTCTGTTATTAAAGTTTTTAATCTTACCAAACACTTGAATAAACAATGATCACTTGAATAAAATAGAATCTTTATTCTATTTTTTGTAAGCTATATTCCTACAGTTTGTACAACTCTCATTCTATTCAACACCATTTTTACTTAGAAACCTACAATATAAATTGCAGTTTTCCTATGTTCCCACCCTGGAAAAATATGACTAGGGCTTGGTTCCTCTGCCAGTTGGCTGTAACTGTGGATAGTGCTCTGTAGCTTGGTATGTGGTGTAATTCAACAGACTGACTGCCCTGTTTTGTGAAATACAGGGGCTGCTAGCATTGGAAAGGGCCTTGGAGGAATGTTGTTTTCAAGATTTGGACGTTCATCTACATCACAGTCGTCTGAGGCATCAAAAGACTCAATAGAAGACGAGAAGAAGCCAGTTGCCTCACTTCCCACGACCACTGTTGCAACACAGACCCTTCCACACAGCAGTTCTGGCTTTCTGGATTCTGCATGTTAGTTCATACTCTTCTTTCCTTACGTTTATACCCTATCTCTTACAACTTGAGGCAGAGAGGATTAAGATACTGACAGGAGCAGTCAACTCTAAATCTAAAGCATAAGTTAGCTTTTAAAGAAAAAATGCTTTCTTTGATTATATTTTTAAGTGTAATTCCCAGGTAAATGCAGTATTACTCTCTGCATTGGTGACTTAATAGTTAAGAACTATTAATAATCAGGGCCTGGTGGCAAGGTGTCTTAAACATCAGGTATAAAACAAATCTCTTTGGGATGAGCACCCCCTGATTTTTATGAAGTAGAGTTTTTATAATATGGCCTTAAAAATTCATTTAACTGCTTCAAACCTATGCTGTGTATATTCTTGATACTTTTTAAAAGCTACTATGCCAAAACCATCCTGCTGCTAATTCCACAGTTCCCTTCATCCAACCAAATTATAAGACTTTCAGGCTTATATTATTGTATTGGATCTGCTGTATGGCTTTCAATCCTATCCCAGCTACCTAGCAAAAGTAGATATTCAAGAAGTGAGTGAATGAATGGATAGTTATGCTGGACTTAGCATTACCATGGAGCTTTATTTATTTTTTCCAGTAGATTTCTAAGGTTTAAGATCTTGAATAGTTGTGAAACTCTTACACATTTATTACATATATCTAATTCCAGGGGTCTAAATTTGAACCTTATTTTTAAGTGTCCATTAAAATAAGACTAGTAAGTCCTGTTTTTCTATTGATTTACATAAGGAAATGTGGATTCTCAAACTAGCTCCTTTTTGTAACTATAGCAAGCAGAAAGCTTTCCTTCCTTTTGTCAATAAATGTTTAAGCAGATTTTATTTCAGATACTTGTAGCCTTATTTTCTTGCTGTGTCTGCTGCTCTGAATTTTAAAATGACCACCATCCCTTGCCATCCATAAAACGTACTTAAAAAGGAAACTCAGGTGTGGCAGTCCTAGAGGCTGGATCTTTCTCCACAGTCAACCCCACTCCAAGGAATTATCCTGGACATTCCTGACTTGGACATTCCTATTTGGACCAGTAACATTTTTTTAACTTAATCCTATTTATGTCAGACTCTGAGTACTGAAAATTTTATAATTGTAAGCCTTTTGAACACTGCCTAGAAAATTCATTTTAGACTTTGATATTTGTACAAAATTCATTTTTTAGTTCTTACATAAGTTCCTATACTATTGCTGACTTAAGCTTTTACTTCTACTTAATATCAGAAATGTGACTGTAAAAATACAAAATTCTATTGTGACATGCCGAGGTCAAAACTCTAAGCTTCCGAGGAAAAATACTTTCAAAGAATTTTGTAAGATGGCAGGTAAAAAGTCACAATTCCTTGTAATGTTAATGCCCTCGAGAAAGGGTGATGAAGACATAAAGAGAGAATCTATAGGATCTGAGGGAAGAAAGCTGTTTTTTAGGTCTTTTTACGATTTAACATAGTAATTTCAAAATGGTAATAAAGAAACCTGTCTCTTCTTTCAGGGCAGCAGTTATAGAGGTGCTTAGCTATATTGCATCATTATAGTTTGATAGCTTAACAATATACTTTCTGTCATTCTTGCATATAAATTCTTTGTTGGTCCTAATGGTAAATACCGTGTCGACTATAGACTCCACTGAATAAGAGCTAATCATGACCCTTGGTTAACATATATTTATCTCTAGACATCGATGTAGCTATTAAAATTAAACTACTATAGAATTCCACGTTTTAAACCAAATTCCCAAGATTTGCCTTACTAATTCTCAGACTTGCTTCAATAATACACTTTTCTATGTAATCCTGATTTAGACATTCCTTATGTCATACTTGCTGTGTCTTGCAAATCATAAAGCCTTTCTTCCTTAAATCTTCTTTCTGGAATTTGGTCATCATGACTAGGTGATTCTGGCTTCCTTCCTTCTTTCTACTCACACTGATTGCCTCAGTTCTTCCTGATAACCTTTATTCTGAAGCTACGGATTCTCTTGCTTTTTGAAGGTAAGGTGGACACAGACTTTGAATTCATGAATCAATCTGGGTTTCTCTCTTTGAAGAGTGTGTGTGTGTCGTCCGCTGAAACCACTTTATTGTCATCGAGTTGAAGCATCTTAAATAGCTATTCTTCATTTCTTTCAAAAAGTCCAGGCTTATATACAGTTGGTTTTATGGTTCCATTTCTTGTACTCCTCTGTGTTTGTATCATATTATAAAAAAAAAATCTGTTTCTTTTAGCATATTTTGCCTCTACATTAGAATTTGTATAAGCTACAAATTTTGGAGATATCTGGTTGTTAACAGATTATGACATTGTATTTCAAAGTTAATTATGCTTATATTTTCCATGAAAGAGCTCTTCATAAAAACCAAAGTGTGTACTTCTTTATGTATGCTAGGTTTAATCAGCATATTTGGGAGTAGTATTCTAACTTTTGGCCACTACATCATTGAAGGCCCTTTGTAACCATCAGCCAACACTTTACAGCATCTTGTGTTTTTTTTTCACAGATTTCAGACTTCAGGAATCGTTCTTTAATCTCCCACAACTTCTTTTTCCGGAAAGTGTAATGCAGAATAAAGATAATACCCTCGGTATGGTATATGTCAGGAATAGCGCCAGAATACTATGAAAATGATCTACTTAGAGGTCTTCTGCTCACTGAAAAATTGCATCAATTCTTCTGTGAGATCAGCTTGAATGTCACCATTATAGACTATTTTATATATTTTTTCTTCCTGTATTTTCTAATCTTAAGTAGTAGTGGTCCTGAAACTCAAGTATTGATTAGCCACTCACCGTGCTAAAATGATACTCCTGTATGTTCCTACAAAGAAGGAACCTTATGGAGAGGGAAGAAAAGCATTAGTCTGTTTTCCTTCTTTATTGTCCTAAAGGCTTCAGAGAGGTTCACTGTTCTTTTCATGTAAGACATTTAGAGATAAAAAGGTTTCATAGTATGAGATAGGCAATCATTCCCAGTTATTTCACATGTCAGTAACATTACTCCTTAGGGCTGCAGGTATGCACAAATATTCAGCCTTCTTTAAGAGGGGTAGTGTTGCTTTTAAAAATTAGTGGTTTGGGATGTAAGAGATATTTTCAGCCTTTTAATTTTCAGCAGATTCTAAATGTATCACTAAGGATTTATCTTAGTTTAAAATCACTGTATCATTAACTTTCATTACTTTCTCCACAGCTCCTCTCTCTTTCCTTTTCCTTTGTTTTTTAATATTGGATTTGTCTTTAACAAAAAATAATGTTACAAGTTTTTCCTTGGATTTTTAACCGCATCTAATTTTACAACTTCTTTGTTTAACTGCTAATATCCCATACTTTTTTTTTCTATTTTCAAAGAAAAAAAAAAACTCTTACTTGGTTAAAAATTCCAGCACAATATTTTAATATAACAAACTGATTTGGGTTTTTTTTGCTCCCTAGCAACAGTTTGTGTTGCTGTAACTTCATGAATTTCCCCCGAAGGAATGATCTTATATAAGTGCTCTCTTTGGCCCCGCTCATGTAAATAGTCAAATCCATGAAGAAATTATTTGATTTGTGCATTTTGCATATTTAATTGAAGGAAAATTAATCCATTCCTTTATCGTGCACTCAAGTAGCCCTTATGTCTACCGTCTTAAAACTGTCCCAACTGTCTAGGCAACGAGACCACTGATCATAACTACACCAAACTAAATCAAATGGTAATATGTGTGTGGCTCCTATTTCTCTTCCCCTGCTTTTTTTCATTTTAACAATTACTTGTTAAAGGTTTACCATGAGTCAAGGTACCAAGCTAGTCACTAGAAAAGATACCAATATTAAACAGACTTCAGTACTGCCCACAAAAATGTAAATGCTGGTGTTGAAATTAAATATTTTCTAGAGAATATATATACTAGTAGGGAGGTGAATAACTACATGAATAATTATAGTATATGGTAGAATATGATGAGCCACATAACAAAGGTACAGGTAAAGGACTCTTGTCGGTTCTAGGGAATGAGAAAATGCTTTCAGGTAGGAAAATCATAAAAGGCTCCGTGGAGGTAGGATTTGGACATGCAAAGATAAAAAGATGTTTCAGGAGAAAAAACAGCATAAGCAAAGCACAGGGTATGTAGAGAACCAGAAGTTAGTTAAATGGAAGGGAATAGTTCTAAATACGATTGGAAAAGTTTCTTAAGCCAGATTGTAGAGGGTCCAACAAATCTGGCCATCTCCTGGAGTTTTTTGTATTCAAGATTTACCCATAGAGCCGACATTTACCGATAAAGCCCATCTGTTCTCAAACATGAGGTATTTTGAGTATCTTTCAGGATAGATTAGTATTGGGAAATTATTTTGGCAGATATGAAAACTGATTACAAAACTCATTTTAGAGTTTTTGTTTTTTTAAGATTTTATTTATTTGAGAGAGCGAGAGTGAATGAAGGCGGGGGTGTGACAGGGAGGAGGAGAAGCAGACTCCCCACCGAACGAGGAGCCCGATGCGGGGCTCCATCCCAGTACCCTGAGATCATGACCTGAGCCCAAGGCAGATACCTAATGACTGAGCCACCCAGGCACCCCAGGGTTTTTGTTTTTTCAAATAAAGGACAGTTGGAGAATATTCTTAAATATATTTGAAATTATAACAATTCACAAAATATAGATACTCCTTGAATGTCAGACACCTAACCACATGAAATGTATAGCTGAACTGAGGTAGCACAAAAATAGGAAGACATAATTTACCAACAAGAACTCAGCATAATCTTTTTTATTATGAAAGAATCTTTTGCCAGTCATTTGAAAACACAGTTTCCTTTACTAGTATTTTTCTTGGTGTCTGCCTGTAGCCAAAAATAATGCAATTATGACCGTAATTATTACTTAAAATAAGATAACTTTTTTTTTAAGATTTATTTATTTGTTAGAGCGAGAGGAGGGGGAGGGGAGAAGAAGACAGAGAATCCCAAATAGATTCCCCACTGAGCGCAGAGCCCAACTCAGGGCTCTATCTCATGACCCTGAAATCATGACCTGAGCCAAAACCAAGAGTTGGACACTTAACTGACTGAGTCACCCAGGTGCCCCCAAGATAACTGTTAAGATTAAGTTTTTGAAAATTTCTCTCCAGGAAAGTTAAGATGTTTCCATTAAAACAGTAGAAACCTGTCCAATTAGTACACATTTTAATACTAAGATGCTCACTTTCTGTTCACACATATTTTGTTTAATACCATATCCATGTGGACAAGCCTTGTGCAGAGAGTTCTCTGATGAAAGCACAGTACTGATGACACTTTACCTCCATACTTCATAAATTGCAGACATTCACTTTGGGGAAACAGGCCTGTATGCGAGACTCCCCAGAAAAGCAAAGAATCCCTGTTTTAAAGCAGTATAAGCAAACTGCTAATGATTGTTAAAATCTAACAGTCTTTTTCTCAGTTTTACTTCTCTTCAGTTGTTCAGGATCGCAGTCTTTGTGGATCAAGGAATTCTAGCCCTCAGGCACTCAAAAGAGAAGAAAGGACAAAGTAATGATACTACATTCTCCTTTCTCTTTGACCTAACTCAGTGAGAGAAACTAGGAAAAAACTACCAGCTGTGTTGTGCCACCCATTTTTGATATGTTAATCATGAGAAAGTAGGTCCAAGGCAGTTCCATATAGATTTGGGCCTACTTTGGCCAAGAGCACATCTCACAGCACATAAAGAATGGTACTGCCATCTAGACCCTTGCTCCCCTGGAAATTGTGATCTACATAAAAGGGAGAGAGAAAATGAGACCTGGGCCCACCTAATTGCATCTCTCCACCAGCAGAACCAACACATGTGAGGTCAGCTGCACTAGCAGCCAGACTGCCTGTTGTAAATCTTTTAAGGAAAATGAGAGACTAAAACTGATTCATTGGGTACAGGCTGGCTACCTTACATTAGTTCCATTTTGATGAGGACAGCCTACAGATAAATAGCAAGGGATAGGAAGTCCCTGTAGATGAGAATGACAAAGGCTATAATAGGATGATAAATTCAGCATTTGAGTGTCTAGTATATGAAAGACAATGTTTCACGACAGTAACAGCATTTAAGAATAAATGTCAGGGACACAAAATCAAAGCCAAATAATACTTGCTATAACAGAAAAAAAGTTTCCCTTTCTTTGACTCTAAAACAACAATTCGACTTAAGACTGTTAGACTAGGAAGACATTCTACAGTAGCATTTTAAAGTAGAAATTATAACTTGGTGGTCTTTGCCGATATGAATGTGTATTTTTCTCATCTCTTCTGTTTCTCCTCTTATTTCTCCTCTTCTCTTTATAACTAACTCCAGTTTGACTTCTCTTCATCATGCTTGAGAATTCCAGTTTCCTCTTTTTTCATCTTCCTGTCTGTTGTGCCAGAATGTGCCTACAGATGAAACTCAAATGTCCCGTGGAATTCAAAAGACAAAAGATTCAGACATTACTACCCCACAGTTCCACATATGGATTTCAGCTATTTCTGATGTATTGTGGATTAGCTTATTGTAATTTAAATGAGAAAAATAGCAGTTTAAAAAAATTATAAAAGGCCTGTGTCAGTATATTTTACAAGTGTTTTATAACCTAATTGGTATTTATGCTGCTTAAGGGTAACCTTACCTGAAAATGTATATATAGATCCATGGACTTTCCTTATCAGAAAAGCATAGTTGAGTAGAAAAGTAACAACTATATGCATTTTTAAATCACCAGTGGCTCTTGTCACAAAGTACCTATTTAAAATAAGCATTAGCTAAACATTTATATGAAAGCATTCTCTAGAGTGAATACGATTTCCTATGTGCAATTACCAAATTCAGTGGAAAGCAAAACCCAACTTTTGTTGCAGCCACCTTGATATTTGCCACCTTTTACTTTCCACATCTTCTGGCACTCTGAACAAAGATCTGAGTGTTTTTTTTTTTAAGAGAGTTCCTTCAAAATATTATATAGCTCAATGACTGTTTTAAAGGAGTTCCTAAAGATCGAAGTATTGTTTTTCTAAGTGTTTTGTCTCTGAGGACTTACTAAATGAATCCTTGGTAATTCTATTATAGCCTCAATTTTTCTCTAACAGGTATTGCAAGGACTTTCTGTGGGCTTTAGAAAAAGACTTGATTGAATTCACTGATTTGTTTGAGGACAGCACTGTTATAAATGAAGTCCTTCCTCCCAAGGATCACCACTGTTCCTCCCTGTTTAACTGTCCGCCCAGTGGATTCTTTATCGATCATATATTTTGTGAGCACTTGTATGTCCCAGGCGCATGTGAGGCCCTGCTGATTGCATGGGGACCAGGCTGTGTGACAGCAGCCACATGGGGAGTCTAGGACTGCAAAAAGTCACCACCAAGCGAGGTGATGGATAGGACCTCCCCAGGGAAGGAGCCTTTGAGTGACCTGTGCACCCCCACAGACATTATTGCATATGAGCCTGGCGAACAATTTTGCAGGAAGGCTGTTTTCCTTATTTTAGATTAGGAACAAAAATTAAATGGGAAAGCTAAGATTTGAGCCTAATTTCTTTACTCCAAATATACTCTGTGATACCAAGTGAATTTTTTTGTTTTATTCCTTTATTATTCCATATTGACCTGAGCATACAAAAGAAAGGACTCCACCAAAGAGAATCCTGAGCTGTTGAGGCTGCTTTGGGTATTGTGTTTTTTGGGGTTGTTGTTTTGTGGTTTTTTCCCCCCATAAGCTTAGAGTGGAAAGTCACTAAAGGAAAAAAAAGATAATTAGGAAAATCACTTCTATTAGCTAAATTTTTGTTCTCAACTCTAGGTGAAGTCTATATAGAACATATTGTAATACTTCTTTGTGTGACTTTCTTTTCTTTTTAGTGGAATTGGATCACAGAATTGATTTTGAACTCAGAGAAGGACTTGTGGAAAGCCGCTACTGGTCAGCTGTTACGTCGCATACTGCCTATTGGTCTTCCTTGGATGTTGCCCTCTTTCTTTTAACCTTCATGTACAAACATGAGCACGACAATAATGCAAAACCCAATTTAGATCCAATCTGAACTCTTGAAGGACATTAATGGCCCAAAACTGATTTCTTTCTGTTAAAATATGTGTGTCAAGATATGGACATTTCAGGTTTAAGTGTGTTTCGGTTTTGTTTAGGGCAAGAAACATTTAAATTTAAAAGCACTTTATTTAAAAAAACAAAAATATTTTTTCAGTCTGAAAGAAATTATTTACAGTTTTCATCATTTTAATTATGAGTCTGACAGAACCCCCTGCAGAAAATCAAGCACGACCTGGAATTGAGTTTGGGTTATAAATCACAATCTAATTTCTCCAAATATAAAGGCATATTAGTTGAATCTAATGTATTAACCAAAATATGTTGTAAATCTAAAATGGCCAAGGTCTAGTGTAGTCTATGTAAAGATCACTGGTGGTATCACTGTTGTAGATTCCTATGAAAGCTTCTATTTCCATAGTTCTTTGAAACAAGAGGATGACAGGTTTCAAGTGTTTTGAATTTAACTTGCTTAGAAAAATCAATGCTAAAAAAGAAACAATGAACTACTGTATTTATAATTTATTACCTCTAACGGCTTTATTTCAATATATGAAATATGACATTTTTTAAATGTTTCCTTTGAACAATTTAATAACCACCTTTGTTTTCTATAGCATTAACACCCTTTTTTCCTTAAAACTCCATCTTTATACTCTTCAGATGAATATATAGACACTGTGGCATACTTTCAGTATTTTTTTCATTAAAAACTTGTGGTTTCACATAATTAACACTAGTTATTTTGAAAAAAATGAACTTTTTATTATGTCACATGTACCTCAGAGAAAGCTAAAGTTTTCTAAATTTGACACAAAGTACTCCATCGTGGCTACATTTCATTAACTTTATTGGACAATTAGTAAACAGCTTTGGAGTAGTGAGTACTACGACTATTTTAAATATATAAACATCGGTGTGCCAAACAATTAACATATATAAAGGGATGGAGTGCCACTAACACATTTTACTTGTGAAGTGTTTAAGAAAACCTGGTTGAGACACAAGGCACATAGATCAGGATTCTAAGGCACTGGGAGAGTTTTCCTCCACTGTGATTGTCTCCACAGTGCTTCTCATCTGAGGAGCCCAAAGTGCTTTAAGACTCAGTCATCTATGTGGTAGCTCCTTGAGGTAAGTAAATGAGTGTTTTTCTCATGTTACGTGTTAATACACTAAGGCACCAAAACATTTTAAAGTGCCTTGAATTAGATTACAGAGCAAACAGAAGAGCTCAGATTGAGGCTAGACTACATTCTTTTATATGCTGTAGTGACTAGTAATTCACATGTGACCTCTTAGTTTGCAAACAATAATAATCACAGAAGTTGCAATGCGTAATTTGGAGAAGAGACTGTGAAACCAATATTTTACCCTACCTTTCGAATATGTTCTGGGGTTCTCACATATAGAGGAGAGTTACTTAGGGGAGATCATCTCTACCCCAACCAACCCTCACTTCCGAGTGGCTTCTACTAGGTTCCACTTAAGGTGCTTTCTTCACTTATCTTACAAGGGTTTTCTTATTTGCCCAGTTGGGTCAGTTGCACATCTCACCTACTCCTTTCTTCACAAAGTAGTGGAATCCATAGGCTCACCTATAGGTTTTCCTACGGCACCGTCAGTCTTCTTGTCTATTCTGGCCTTTCATTGAATTTGCACAACAGAAAGCACTTCTTCTTAGTGCTTAAAAAGATCCCAAGGCTCCATGACCAAATATGTGACTCCCCGAGAAATGCTTGCTATAAAAGGCTTTTGATGAAATCTTAGCAAAGCTGAAGCAGTCTCTTTCGAATTTAGAGATTCCTGTGAACTCAGGTCATTTTCATACCCTAGTTTATTTCATAAGTCTAATTTAGTTCTCAGGAAAATTAAACTCCTGTCTCATATGACTGTATCATTAAAGGTACTTGAGCATATGTTGCTGTAGATGGTGTGACACTCAAATGTTTAGGAGCTTTAAGGGATTCATTCTTAACCACTAGAATGTGAAGAGCCCTTTTTACCTGAGAAGAGTAGAGTATCAAACCTTTTAATTTGCTATTGAGTAAAAAAAAAAAAGATACAGCTATTAGGTATATTATCTGCTCATTTTTCATGTTGAGGAAACAAACTTAACCATATGGAGTTTATTTGAATTCTTGAAAAGAGCAACACTCCCCCCTTGGCAAAATGAGATATTCTGGATTACTGAACAGGTATTTTGTTTTCATTATTTCATCAATAGAGATGGTGATCTTGATTTGATAGTACTCTTCTTGTTTCCATGTCTCTGCATGTTATCATGGAATGTACTTGTATATACTCAAGTAATATACAGAGTATGTGTAATTCTGGCTTGATTTAGAAGCTAAGTCCGTTACTGAGTAACATTTTGCAACTTTATTCCAGCAAGTACTAAATTGGCCAAAAAGTTCTGTTTTTGATACCATTAAAATTTTATTCTCTATTTTGTGTACATGCTATGATGATTCTTCTGAGTATTGGTCAGATCATTCAGTTTTAACCTAGTTAGGGTCCCAGGAATTATCAAAACTTAGAAGAAGAAGAAGGTTTCAGATTAAATCTTCTTATTTTTACTTTGAAATTAGCCTTTGCTAAAGCCTTTTGTTAGTTCATAACTTTATTTTCAGCAGGAATTATGCTTATGTTACAATCTATCGTTACTGTATTATAGAATATAATTACAAAATGCACTGGAACTACCCCTTTATATGTGAAGCAAACCATAAGAATCTTATCTTTTACTTCTTTCTATTAAATAGCATCTGTCAGCTTTTGGAAATTCTCAACACTGCACATGTTCTGTCGAAGCCTTTGGACAGTGACATGTGAACACTTGTCCTCACCTCTTCTCTCTGTTGTTTCCTCCTTGGGGGCTGAAGTGTCCTGGTCTACATGGCATTCACACACCATATGCCTGCTTTGCATTGCCCTGAAGAGTAGACAGGGAAAAGAAACCATCAGTGGTGTCCCAGTCAGTTCACCCTTCATTTCAGTAATGGCACCTGAGCCCCTTAAAGTAGAGCAGACCAGACCTAGAGATTTCACTGTAAGGTCTGCAGTGAAGGAAAAACAATTAAATGGCTTTCTTGTTAATTAGGTTGGTCAATATTTCTGTCTTCTCAGCTACTACATTTGGATAATTGAGAAAGTTAATTTGAATGTATGTCTTAACTGTTTTTTTAATACTTTTTATTTAATCTCTATACCCAACGTGGGGCTCGAACTCACAATCCCAAGAGCAAGAGTTACATGCTCTTCTGACTGAGCCACCCTGGCACCCTTGTCTTAAAAGTATTTTTCAACAATCTTGTTGGCATTGAAATGGGGCTAAAGAAGAAATGTGCGACGTTAAAGAACGGTCAAGACAGAGTGAAAAATAGTATCTAGTAATCCTGCACTAGAGAAAGAACTAGAATTGTACTACACTCTCTGAGTGTTGGCTAGTTGACTTCTGTGGATATTCTCAAGTTGTCTCTTATCCATATTCTGTCATCCCTGGGCCTCACGCCTCTGCCAGGAATTGAATGGTACTCTGGCTGACTTTGAAACACATGCACTAAATATTTTTATAATTAGGTATGGTCCAATATGTATAGTTTCCTAATGTTTTATAAGAATTTACTTATATGAAGAACCTTTTGCTGTACCTACAAAGAGCAGATTTGGCAGGAAGCACCCCCACTGGACTCAACTCTGTCACCTCTAGGATGGGTCTAGGGAGCCCATACAACCCACCCACACTGTCTCCCTGTATATTCTCCTTTTGCATTAGTCAAGGGGAAAGGAACTTGCAAGGAAATAGAGTATTGAGTTTAGAGCCGTGTACAGAATGGCAGGATATAGAATTTCAATTCCCAACTTCTCATGTAGTAAATATGAGTACTGTAATGGGAACAGCCTGGGTTATATACACCCTGTTTTGGTCTTCAGTGTGGGTGTTTGTGATAATATTCAAAGAATCCTAAAATCTCAGGGTTTGTACAGATTTTAGAGGTCATCTGGTCCAACCCTGTTTTAGTTTCATGTGAGCATTTAAATAGCATAAAGTCATGAAAAGTAAAGCCAGAGGCAGCATATTAGGTTCAGCCCAAAAGGCTCGATGAAAGAGGAGGGAAGTGATGGTGCCCATAAGGAAAAATAACCACTAACCATAGTAGAATTCTAAAGCTGGGAAGGGCGGAGAGATCAGCAGTTTCCAAAGCATGTTTTGCAAATGTCAACAGATGCTTTTTCAGAAAATAAGTTTGGGAGATGCCAAATTTAAAAGAATCTTTTACAACAGGACTTTGGGAGCCTTTGATAGACTAAATGTATTAAGAATCGATCTGGTAATGTGGGGGTTCAGGGAAGGGAATTTTTTCCAAATTTAACCAGATTTTTTTTAATTGGAATATACTTAGAGAAATGATCACATTATTTAATTACTCCATTTTACAGAGATCTGCCCCTTCATGTGATTTCTTCATTTGACAAGTGGCCACTCCCACCCTGTAAGATCACATGGCCAGCTAATGACAGAGTCAGAATTAGAACCTAGTCCCCACCCCCATTCCCAGCAACGTCTTAGGCCACACCGCCTGTTTCCTTCCCCTAGGAGATCGGCAACTCCTGAAAGGCCAGAAACTCCCTCTCTCCATTTTTTGTGCCTCCTCCCGGCCCCACCCACAGCCCTCTTGTGTAACCTGATGCTTTACGGGCTGCAAGCTCTTGACAAATGGCTCCAGGCTTGAGTTCCCCAGTTGGTCTCCTTTGTTTCCAAGGCCCTTATGAAAGAGTGCCCTACCAGATCAGAACAGAGGGCCTTTCTTGTCTCAGATTCAACATACTCAAGAAAAAGAAAAACAAAACAAAATAAATTAAAAGGTACACCAGGAACATATTAGTTTTCCATTCTGGAGACAAATGCAAATTTGGTAGGGAGGTTGCACAGTGTTAAATAGTGTTTAATACTCCTTTCACTCCCTCCCTTAGTGTTTGTATGTTGGCCTGTTATCAATTCATGACAAGCAGGTCCCTTCTAAAACTGTTCCAACATAGGTTAACTAATGGAAGTTTTTTAATTTAAGTACTGGAGAACAGAAGAATTTTTGCTGCCGCTGCTGCTGCTGCTGTATGTGTTGTGTGTGTGTGTGTGTGTGTGTGCTTCTTTTCCCAAAAATAATCTCTTGGCAGATAGCATGAACTTTTCCTCCACCTTTGTGTTTGAATAAGGGTGGGAGTGTGCTTAGTATTGTCTGTCACCTTATGGTTTTTCATTTATTTGTAACAGGGTGCAACTTGCTTCCTCCCCACCCTACTGTTAGCAGGATACTTTGGGAAGTCACTCTTCAGGAAGATTACATCTGGTCCGCTGTTGGAGTAAGATGAAAAACAAATGTATTAACTCTTCACCTTTAATGCTTTCTCCTGGAAAACATTGAGTGTCTATGAGCATCATTTCTACCTTCCCTTGACTACACCTGCACACACCACCTTCTCTGCTTGATCTCTGAAAATCTTTGATTCCCTGTGAGCTCTGTCATAGAAAAATATAACCATTTTTGGTCCTGAGGCTGTCATAATAAATCCACACTCTGCAAGTAAGAGTCTGGGGAGCTTTTTGCTCTGTGCCATTGGGTATACTTCTCAGAAGCAGCGGCACCGTGACTCTCCTGAGACCCTTTCTTCAGCTTCTGTGACCTCTTCTGATGTTTGCCCACTCTCCTTGACAGTATGAAATGCTGTCAGTGGCTACCGTAACAACTCTTAGAAGGTGGCCTTTTTCTTTTTTCTTTTTCCTTTCTTTCCTCTCATTTTCAATAGTCAAGGTTAATTTTCTCAGAAACCTCAGTTTTTACTGAAGCATTATTCCCGTTTTTATCTCTGCAGTGATCTGCTTGGATGGCAAAAAAACAACCCTCATTTTAGAAGTGTTCAGTGTTGATTTTTCACAGTTGGAGCTAGTGCATGCACATTTAATTTCAAGGAAGTGAGGTGTAAATGTAGTTTGTTCCTGGATTACACAGTTTCTCTAGCTGAATGGATCCATTCATTATCTCATTCACCAGGAGCAAACAGTTATGCCCTATAGTAACAACCTGAAAGAGTAAGCTGTTCTAAGCATTCTTAGGAACATAATCCTCCTGATCCTATACAGTTTATGGTAATCTTCCCCAAAAGTTTATGAAGAGTGAAAGATATTAAAATCTACATATTAATGAGCTATGGCCACAATACCACCTCCTCCTAGGAGGGTTGGTGGCCACAGGGGCACACTGGCTCCTTCAAGAACACGTATAGAAAAAAGATTGGCACGTTCAGATCTTGTACAGTATAATCCGTTCACAGCTTATCGTCCCAGGGTTCAAAAGATGACCACAGTTCTCAAGCTTTCAGGCTAATCTGAGTATGTGATAAGCAATAGAAAATTAACCCCGAGGGCACCTGGGTGGCTCGGTTAAGCACTGCCTTCGGCTCAGGTCATGATCCCAGGGTCCTGGGATCAAGTCCCACATCGGGCTCTGCCTTCTCTGTGGGGAGCCTGCTTCTCCCTCTGCCTCTGCCTGCCACTCCCCCTACTTGTGCTCATTCTCTCTGTGTCAAATAAATAAAATCTTTAAAAAAAAAAAAAAAGACAACCCCGATAACCCATGCAGATTAGCCACCAACTGGTAGTACATTTCCACTTCCCACCCCCCAACCCCCGGCCTTTGGTGCCAGAGTGACTGAAAAATAAGGCTTTAGATGTTATTTTGTAAGAATCCAGGAATTTCAGTGCTGGACAAAAGCAATTCCCTAATGGGATATTGACCTTAGATTGGGAAACAAGTGACCAGGATGTCAGGACTGCATCTAGACTTGAGGCAAGATAGTACGTGGACTGGAGAAAGAAAAAGCAAATGGGACTGGAAGAAGTCCATGGTCATGAGAGCCTGATACCTTAGACGTTCCAGAGGAGTTAGCCCAGAGGCTGTTTCTGGGAAAAGGGGAGTAGAGCGACCTAGGTCTGTTCACAACATTCATTCAACTGAGCCCTTTGACAACTCCCATTTATCGGTGGAGGCTCACCATGACCCAGCCCAACCTAACTCTCCAGCCCGATCTCCCACTGCCTAGCTTTGGCAATCAAATTTCTGTCACAGCAAACCGCATCCCATTTGCCTATGAGTGCATGCATTTTAGTTATTGTAGTGGTTACCTGTTGTTTTTGTCTGCCTAGCATCTTACTTCTCTTTTGGGGTCCTCTCCTCTCCTATCTTCTTAGGAAGTACTGCCCTAGCCCTGCCCACTCTATATGTTTCTAATAGAGCTGCCAATCCTACAAAAGTCTTGCAACTTTTCCTATCTCTGGTTAAAATTTTCTGCGTTGTATGAGTCCCTATTAACACAGCTCCATCATAGCACTATCTGCTGTACCGTGGCCACACGATGGGCATATGTCCCACTCCATGAGCTACAGTGATT